CACAATTTTTTCGTGCAAAAACACACCACCCGCACAGCGTAAACAGGCGGTTCAGCACAGGGGGGTAGGGGCGCCCCCACCCGCCCCCCCCCCCCCCACCCCCCCCCCGCCCCGACCCCCCCCTCCCCCCCCCTTTTCGGTCTTTTTGGCTTGCCCCTAACCCGAGCAGGCTGGGATGATCTTCGAACCATGCGAGCGGGTTTAGACCTCTCAACTATGCGGCTTGTGCCGGAGGCTCTTAAATTTAGGGTTTAGGGTTTAGGGTTTAGGGTTTAGGATTTAGGGTTTAGGGTTTAGGGTTTAGGGTTTAGGGTTTAGGGCTTGACCCTGGACCTAACCCTTAGAGTTTGGGCTTGTTGCTTAGGGTTTTGGGCTTCTGTTTCAGGACTTAAGGTTTGGGGTTAGGGTTTAGTGTTGGGGCCTTAAAGGCCTTTCCGGTTTGGCGTTTGCGTTTCGGGGCTTGAGGTTTGTACACTAAAATCACTGTCTAAGAAACTATTGTATAAGAAACTCGGACGCTAAGTCCGGGAATGTTGGCCGATTTGCGGTTGCCTTTTAAATGAGAAACTTAGGGTAGCCTAGTGTTGGGGAGCATTGGGGGGGGGGGCTACTTTCTTAACATCGCGCCTGCAAAGCCCCTCCAGACCTCCAAGGGCTGAAAAAGTCCCAGAATGTGACTCCCCCGCCCTTCTGGCCAGACCCCAGCCTTGGGGTTGGGGACGCTGCGGCGTTGCCCAGTTTTGCAGCTTTGGCCCTACATCGTAAACCCTAAGATCCTGCCATCCTGCCTCGTCATGGAGGTGGGGAAAAGCTTTGAGTTGTTTGGGTGAGGTATGTGGTCCCTGAACCCAACCTAATGGTGCCTCTAGCCAGGGTACAAAATACGACTAGATGGCTCATGCCTGTATACATGGGTTTGGTCTATAGTGGTATAGCGTACTACTCCCTTAAGAAACGAATTCAGAAACCAAGACTACCCTAGCTCAACTCCCAATGAGGACACAGTAGCTCTTTCGCAAATCTTTGGAGACTGTTCGTAGACCTGCGCATCCTAAACCCTAAGCCCCCGTGATCTGCCGTAGGCTTTAGGTCCGGGCTTGCGGTTTCTAGGGTTTGGGGTTCCTAGGTTTAGGGTTTAGGGTTTAGGGTTTAGGGTTTAGGGTTTAGGGTTTAGGGGGTGATTTCTATAGGGCTTCTACAAATTTTAGGGGGGGGGGGGGGGGGGGGGGGGGGAAGGTTCAGGTTCCTTTTGTAAGACCCCAGGCGCAGCTCGTGGGACAGCGGATATCAGGGGTTGGACGCATCTTGCAAAACTAATGAGCAATCTGATGAAAGATAAAGGAGCCAATTGGCTTCCTCATGTACAAGGTACATTATTATTATTGTTGTTAAATGAATTTGGGTGAGATGAACAATAAGAAGTCTCATCAAAAGACCGATAGAAATTGTGATTGCGAAAACAAGAAGACTCCTTCTAAACCAAAACAGCACAATTAAAGATCGAAATATGAATGGAAGGAAGATACGAATATGATCACAAGGGGCAGGCACTTGTAAGTTATAAGTTGTTTCTAACTAGCACAAGTTCTCGCCAATGTTTGTTCATGGGTTGTGGGCACATGTCAGTGTTACTGTATTTTGCACCATTGCTTTTTTGCTTATAGTTCTCAAGTTTTCCTGGTGAGAGAACGTGTGAGTGACATATTTGTGCGCAGGGCCCATGTCCAGTTCTGATAGTTTGCCTGCATGCTTCAGAGCTCAGTCTAAACCATCCATTCCTGTTTATTCTTTTGTAGTGTAGAGAAATGCGGGGACCCCCTATAAACCGACATCATGCGCACCCCCTACCCCCCACAAAACATCCAGATTTGACGCGAAAGACGCGAGACGCCGCGGACACGGGCCACGCCAAGCGATTCATGTATGGAGAGCGTGCGCAGACATGCGCGGACATGGCAAGTAGGTCGGAAGCTTGCGGCACTGTGGCTCGGACACGCGCGGACATGTAGTTTTGCGAGACTCCAGCATGAAGACCATCATGGCGCAGCCACGCGCGGACACATGTCCACGCAGCACGTTTTCGCCGCGGACACGGGCGGATATTCGCGGACACTTCGCGGAGACCAAGAAAGCATTCGAAATCCAAGGTTTTGCGCCTCACCCTGAGGACAAAGATATGTGCAAAGCAGGGAGCCGACCGGAAGCAGAACTACAACTAACACAAGCCTGACGCGCCTGCGATAACGGGAAAACAGCGGATGTGATCTGGCATTCAACGTTTATAAGTTTAGAGTTCATATAAGAAAAGACAAGAGTGGAGAACGTACACAACTTGTAAGAAAACATTTACACATTTCTTGACTATAAAAAACAAAACATATATATATATATATTTATTTATTTATTTGGTATCTGGCAGCATAACTTTTTCGAGGTTTGGCCGCCAAGTAGCCGCTAGGTATAGATTTGGCACACAAGCATGGCATCAGCTTGCATAAGATACGATACAGAGATGATACTTGTCACCCAACATTTAAAGTAACACACCAACACGCAAGTTACTTGTAAATCTATTTAGGTCGGGATGTGATCAGGGCCAGGAAGTCGCGCATTCGAGCTAACAACTGGGCTCAAAAGCTGCGGCGGAGGATGTGGTAATAAGGCTGTCAACAACAAGCGCGTTGTCAGTCTTCGCTACACTTGCTGAGCAGCACCGCCCCCAGCTCTCTCCTCCTCCCCAGCTCTGTCTCCACTGCGACCGGTTCTGACGCATTCTCACTGCCAGGGGGGCCAGCGCCGGCTCCTCTGCCCCTCTAAAAGTGGGCAGCGCAGCAGCCAGAAAGGTCGGCCAGAAGGAGGATGTGGCCCGCCTCTGCCACAGGGGTGGAGACCAAGCGGTAGATGTCCAAGACCTGGCCCACACAGCCGTCTCAATCGGGGGTGGGGTGTGTGGCGGGTATGAGGGCCGAGGTCCAAGTCACCTCGCCCGTCCAGCCCCCAGAGGGATGCGGAGCAGAGCCCGGACTTCGGAGCGCCCGTCCGCTCGGCAAGAACCCTTGCTGCGCGGGTAGTGGTAGCAGTAGCAGTAGCAGTAGCAGTAGCAGCAGCAGCAGCAGCAGCAGCAGGAGCAGTAGCAGTAGCAGTAGCAGTAGCAGTAGCAGTAGCAGTAGCAGTAGCAGTAGCAGTAGTAGTAGTAGTAGTAGTAGTAGTAGTAGTAGTAGTAGTAGTAGTAGTAGTAGTAGTAGTAGTAGTAGTAGTAGTAGTAGTAGTAGTAGTAGTAGTAGTAGTAGTAGTAGTAGTAGTAGTAGTAGTAGTAGTAGTAGTAGTAGTAGTAGTAGTAGCAGTAGTAGTAGTAGTGGTAGTAGTAGTGGTAGTAGTAGTAGTAGTAGTAGTAGTTGTGGTGTAGTAGTCGTAATAGTAGTAGTAGTAGTAGTAGTAGTAGTAGTAGTAGTAGTAGTAGTAGTAGTAGTAGTAGTAGCAGTAGTAGTAGTAGCAGTAGCAGTAGCGGTAGTAGTAGCAGTAGCGGTAGCGGTAGCGGTAGCGGGAGCGGTAGCGGTAGCGGTAGCGGTAGCGGTAGCGGTAGCAGTAGTCGTAGAAAGTAGTAGTAGTAGTAGGAGTAGTAGTAGTAGTAGTAGTAGTAGCAGCAGCAGCAGCAGTAGTAGTAGTAGTAGTCATGGTAGTAGCAGTAGCAGTAGCAGTAGCGGTAGTGGTAGCGGCAGCGGCAGTGGTGGTAGTGGTAGTGGTAGTGGTAGTGGTAGTGGTAGTGGTAGTGGTAGTGGTAGTGGTAGTGGTAGTGGTAGTGGTAGTGGTAGTGGTAGTGGTAGTGGTAGTGGTAGTGGTAGTCGTAGTCGTAGTAGTAGTAGTAGTAGTAGTAGTAGTAGTAGTAGTAGTAGTAGTAGTAGTAGTAGTAGTAGTAGTAGTAGTAGTAGTAGTAGTAGTAGTAGTAGTAGTAGTAGTTAGTAGTAGTAGTAGTAGTAGTTAGTAGTAGTAGTAGTAAGTAGTAGTAGTAGTAGTAGTAGTAGTAGTAGTAGTAGTAGTAGTAGTAGTAGTAGTAGTAGTAGTAGTAGTAGTAGTAGTAGCAGTAGCAGTAGCAGTAGCAGTAGCAGTAGCAGTAGCACTAGTAGTAGCAGCAGCATTAGCGCTCGCAGTGGTAGCAGTGATAGGGTAGCAGTAGCAGTAGCAGTGCTAGTTCCTCGAATCCCGAAAATCAAGAGCTGAGGCCCCTTTTTGTGTCGGGGCCCCTAAACTTATAATGAGGTACAACCCGAAACTCTGAACCCCAGCAAAACAGCGCTCGTGTGGCAAAAGAAGTGGCCCTCAGCCACAGCATCGGCGTCAACGTCTTGGAGCTCTTGCGGTGCCACAGCCGGAGAACCAGAGGCTGCAGGCACCGCCTCTTCGCAAGCTCCATGTGGGGGCGCAGGTCCTCATCTGCCTCCACTGGGTATTCTGTCTCAAAAACATGTGTGTAGGGGCTTTGCTCGATGTCCTGCCACCCCATGTGGAGCCAGAAGTCGTAGCTGTCGCCACTCATGGACTGCAGCACAAAGGCACACAGTCCAGCAGAGCTGGCGTACCGAGCGACCTCCTTTTCGTAAATTTCTCTTCAGTGTCGCGAAATGCGAAAATCTCGTCCCTCTTGAACTTGTGGGGTCGCACAAATGCGAGACTCCCATCGCTTTTGGACTTCTGGGGGTCATGTCCTATTATATTGTTTTTGTTGGATGCATTTGGTGAGTCGCGCTTGTTGATTTGGAAGATGACTTTAGGTTTGGTAAGCGAAGCGAAGGGAGATCCAGACACTTTATTGTTGATGTTAGAATTTTTCATGGGCTTACAAGCGAAGGTCCTGGAAATTGCTGCCAAAAAAACTGAACCCTAAACCCTTAACCTACGGTTTAGGGTTTAGGGTTTAGGGTTTAGGGTTTAGGGTTTAGGGTTTAGGGTTCCTTGAAAGCCTAAACGGGCCTAAGCTTTGCCGCCAAAATGGCCGTCGCGCGTCATCCGGAGAAGCTCCGGAGGCTGTCCGACAGCGGCCGGCTGCCTGGCTTCCAGCTTGGGGCTTGTAGGGTTTAGGGTTTAGGGTTTAGGGTTTAGGGTTCAGGGTTTAGGGTTTAGGGTTTAGGGTTCAGGGTTCAGGGTTCAGGGTTTAGGGATGTAGGGGCGTTGAGGATTTGGGGGTTTAGGTTTAGGGGGTTTATAGTTACAGAGGGTGTAGGGTGTAGGGGTTTGGGCTTAGGGGCTTGGGGGGGTTTGTGGGCTTAGAGGGGTTAAAAGGGGCTTAAAGTCTTACAGGGTGTGCACGGCTTGTGGGGGTTGAAAGGGTTCATATTGTTAAGGGTTCAACCCCTAAACCCTAAACCCTAAACCCTAAACCACAAATGGTTTACGGCTTAGAGCCTTGTAGGGTTTACAGGGCCTGGAGGGTGCCTCAGGATGAACTGTAAGAGGTATAAGGAGGACCCGAAACCCTAAACCCAACCCTAAACCCTAAACCCTAAGCCCTAAACCCTTAAACGGTGGCCCCTTATATGCCGCTTATGTACTCTCTACAACCCCGGGGCCTATGCATCAGAACCCTTAAGGTTAAAGAAGCGAAAGACCATAGTAAAGGACCATGAAACTACCGCTAGATAAACCCTATAAACCCTACAAGCCATATAAACCCTGTAAACCCTCTAAACCCTATAATAAGCCGCATACCCAACTCTCTAACCCCTAGATCCCCCCCTCCCCCCACCGCCCCATCCCAGCCTGAGCCCAAAGATCGGGATCCTGATCCGGAACTCGCCTCTCGCAGGGCCGCCGGCCTACGGGCGGCCTGCCGAGAGGTGTTCAGGGAGAAGGGTTTATAGTGTCTAGGGATTCTGGAGGGTTTAGGGTTTAGGGTTTATGGAAATTTAGGGTTTAGGGTTTAGGGCCTAGGGTTTGGGGAATCGATGGTTTCGGCTTTCAGGTTTGAGGTTTTAGCATTCCGCGTTCCGGATTTGGGGTTCACAGAGTTCAGGGGTTCCACGGCTTTAGGGGGTTTCGGGTCTAGGTTTTGGGCTTTGGGACGTCGAGGCTGTGTGCTGTGTAGGGCTTTTCTCGTGAGCTTTTGAGGTCTAGGGTTCAAGGATTTCAGGCCTTGAGCCTTCCAAACCCTAGACCCCAAACCCTAAACCCTAAACCCTAAACCCCAAACCCTAAACCCTAAACCCTAAACCCGAAACCCTAAACCCTAAACCCTAAACCTCGATAACGGCTTCAGGGCCCAGGAACCTAAAGTCTAGGGCTCAGGTTGGGTTCGGTTCGACGTCGAAGGTTTGAAGGTTTCGGACTGTAGGGTTTGGGCAGACGGGGCTTAGGGCTTAGGAGCTTGGGGTTTTGGGCGGGTTAGGGTTTTTAAGGGCTAGGTTTTTTGGGGGGTTTGGGGGTTGGGCTTTTTTCAGGCTCGGGGATGTGAGTTGCAGGATTTAGAGATTTCCGGGGGGGGGTGGGGGTGGGGGGGAGCTTCCGGTTACAATTTAGAACGCGATTCTGGAATTGGGTCCCACAAGTCTCCATACTTGTCAAGGCTTGGGGAACTTAGCCCCATGGCAAAGTCTTCAAGTGTACCCTTAGACTTAAACCCCACATTCTTGAGCCCCCAAAAATCCATGTAGGGCTCAGGGTTTAATTTCAGGTTCAACTCCCGATGAAGCTTCCTGCTTTGGGATTTTTTTTTCTGCTGGGGTTGCTGGAGGATTGAGTGTCTAGGGTTTAGTTGCTAAGCCACTGCCCCTAAACCCTAAACCCTAAACCCTAAACCCTAAACCCTAAACCCTAAACCCTAAACCCTAAACCCTAAACCCTAAACCCTAAACTCTACGATCTGTTTCCCACAGGTGCTCGGCTTTCGGCTGGGCCCGGTGGCTTTGGTGTGTATACCAGAAGCCTCAGACCCTTAAACCCTACAGCCCCTAAGCCCAAAACACCCAAACACCCCCAAACAAAAACAAACCTATAAAGACCCCAAGGCCACGTGACCAAAACACGCCATGTGCCCATCAACACCCTAAACCCTAACGCCCCTCAACCTTCATAGGCCCCTTAAATACATCCATAAGCACCCCCAAGCCCTAAACCCTAAACCCCCATCAGACATCGCCGATCCTCGGATGGCGTGCGCGGGGAAGCCAGCGACGACGCCGAAGCCGAGGCGGACCGTGGCGAGAAGGGGCGGCGGGTCAGCATCTGCGCGGTTCGGGCGGAACTAGGGGGAGTCTTGGTTTATAGGCTTATAGGGTTTAGGGTTTAGGATTCAGGTTTAGGGTTTAGGGTTTAGGGTTTCGGGGGATTTGGGATTCACTAGGGGGTGCACACTGCATCAGTCAAGTAGGCACTGTGTGCAAAGGCTGCACCCGAAGTTGCTTGCGACAGCATCTCACGTCGACACCAACATCGGCCTCTGGGCGCAGGACCCCAGGAGACCCTCCACGAAGGCATTAGGGTGCACGGTTTAGGGTTTAGGGTTTTAGGGTTTAGGGTTTGGGGTTAATGTACACATTCTCCGGAGCATAGGTTGTGAAGGCCTTGTGCATCATGTAGCCACCGGCTCCTCGTAGTGCTTCCGCCGGTACAAAAGCGGGCGCGAGTAGCCACGGCTCAGAATGGCACAGCCAGGCAGAGGCAAGTCTTGAGACGGAGGAGCAGTGGGACGAGACACACTAATGGACTATGGTCTCGTCCCTTGGGTCACCATTTGCACAAATCCAGCAGCTCTTTGCATGATCGTTTCTGAGCACTCTCTCGTGAAAGATCGCAGACCCTAAGCCCTAAGCCCTAAGCCCTAAACCCTAAACCCTACACCCTAAACCCTAAACCCTAAGCAGCCGGTCTGTTCGATCCTGCCACTCGTCTGCATTGACCAGGGGGTAATCGCTGAAAACTTCCACAACGTCCACCAGGCCCATGGCAAATTTCTTTCTGAATGAACTGCTTTCCCAAAGGCACACCGCAAACCCTACTCCTTAGACTTTAGGGTTTATGTCTAGCTAACGCCTATACTTTGTCTAAACCCCTACTGCGTAACTCTAAACCCCAAACCCCAAACCCCAAACCCCAAACCCTAAACCCTAAACCCTAAACCCTAAACCCTAAACCCTAAACCCTGTCCCCGGTGCCTTCCGCGCGGGGGAAGAGGTCTGGCTGTCATCCGTGGCCTCTGCTCGGGCGTGTGGGTCTATCCCCTCCCACCCTGCGCCCGGGGTTTAGGGTTTAGGGTTTAGGGTTTAGGGTTTAGGGTTTAGGGTTTAGGGTTTGAGGTTTGGGGGGTGTGGGCTTGAGGCAGAATTGACAGAAATGTTTTGGGTTGTAAGTATGTAGGGCTTGTATGGCAGAATGTTGGTGATAATTCGGTGGTTGCCTCCAAAACAGCCCTGACTTGTAAATCCCCCAAACACCAAACCCTAAACCCCCAAAGGGCTGCCAACAAGACTTTCTGAGGGTAGCTACGTGGTCAAGACTAAGGGCCCTTAAACAGGGACCCCGTATATACCCCTCATATATTCAGGTAATCTAGGGGCCCGTACTTAAGAACCTTTAAAGAAGGTAAGGGACCACATTACAGGGACCATATACCCACCTTAGAGACTTACAAAACATGAGCTTTACACATGTGATGCAGCAACCCATACTTGAAATGAAAGAAACCGTGCGGCCTTTCGTAACAACATTTGTCTGCTTCAGGGCTATAGGTTTGGGGTTTAGGGTTTAGGGTCGTCCAGAGCCCTAAACCCGAGACCCTTAACCCTTAACCCTTAACCCTTAACCCTTAACCCTAAACCCTAAACCTTAAACCCCAACCCAAACCCCAAACCCCAAACCCTAAACCCTAACCCTAAACCCTTAAGGGTAAGGTTTAGAGAGCCCAGGCCTGTGATCGTGGGGAGGCCGGAGAGGACGGTGAGGAGCGAGGGGAGAAAGGGCGGCGAGTGACGACCTCACCCGCAAAGTGGGAAGGAAGTGTCGGTTTCGGGTTTAGGGTTTTGGGGTTAGGGTTTAGGGTTGGGGGTTTAGGGCTTAGGGTTAAGGGTTTCGGGTTTAGGGTTTGGGGTTAGGGTTTCGGGTCGGGGGTTTATCAGCTTCAGAGGCGTTTGCCAGGGCCCGTTTCTTAGATTTCTGGGAGGATGCCAAAAGTAGCGCCCTTCAAAGAGTACTCTTTACTGCTATACTGCTCTTGGGTCATTTTTTTAGAGAACCCTAACCCTAAACCCTAAAACCTAAACCCTAAACCCTAGACCTTAAGGTGCACTTGTTCGGATCCTCCCAGGGGTTTGGGCTGTAGTACTATTTGCTAAGTTGGCAGGCTACAGCTTCGTAATTGAGCGGAGAAAGGAAGGGCTGAGTTTCCAAATGGTTTAGGGTTAAGGGTTTAGGGTTCAGGGTTAAGGGTTTAGAAGTGCTAAGCTGCTAAGCCACTCCAAAACAAAGCCATACCCGTGGTAGCCCAGTAGCCATGTCATAATAAGGGTACACTTTGTTGGGGTTGGTAACTTCATAACGGAACCTTGAACCAAGAAATGGGAAAAGGGTACTACTGGGCTACCGAGTACCTTGAGAACCACCGAAACCCTTTCCAGGGTTCATTTGGCCTGCACCCTAAACCCTAAACCCTATAAACCCTAAACCCTAAACCCTAAACCCTAATTTAAGGTTCATGTGGAAACGGAGAAATGGGGAACTCAACCCCTCTCTCCGGCCTTGGCAGCAGCCGGCGCCGGGGTTGGGCCGCTGTCCTCCGTCGCCTCCGCCACCGAACCAGCCAAACACGTTCACGTGGAGGTGCGGGGTACTTAGTAACCCAGTAGAGGGTTTAGGGTTTAGGGTTTAGGGCTTAGGGTTTAGGGTTTAGGGTTTGGAAAGGAGGGGCCCTTTTCAGGGACCTTTTTGGGGCTTAACTAGGGGCACTTTGTTTTGCAGGGACTCTATAAGGTCTACATAAGGGATATATAGGGAAATAAGATAAAGGGTCCCTTCAAGGAGTCCCTCCTTATACCCCTGAAACATCAAGTCGGGACCCCCGAATGCCCCTGACCCCGAGCCTAATTGGGGTTTAGGGGTTTAGGGGGTTTGGGGTTTAGGGGTTGAGGCTTGAGGGTGATAAACCCTAAACCCTAAACCCTAAACCTAAACCCTAAACCCTAAACCCTAAACCCTAAACCCTAAACCCTAAACCCCCTAAGCCCTACAACCAAACAATCACAAAACGAAAGTAGGAGCTCCGCATCCCAGCACCCTGCTGGGTCCGAAGCTGGCGAAGGCCCCCTTCCCTTCCACCATACGGATTCTTCGGGAATGACTCGACGTAAGTTTAGGGTTTAGGGTTTAGGGTTTAGGGTTTAGGGTTTAGGGTTTAGGGCTTAGGGCTTAGGGTTTAGGGTTCAAGCGTGTTAAGACTCTAGGCAGACCCAGGTCTGCAGAGGTTCGCACAAGCGTCGAGGACCCAGGGTTTAGGGTTTCGGGTTTGGAGTTTAGGGTTTAGGGTTTAGGGTTAGGGTTTAGGGTTTAGGATTTGGGGTTTAGGGTTTAGGGACCAAGGCCTGAGACAGAGGGGAAGCCGGTGAGGACGGCGAGGAGCGAGGGGAGAAGGGGCGGCGAGTGACGACCTCCCAGCAAAGTGGGCAGGGCCGGCGTCGGGTTTAGGGTTTAAGGTTTAGGGTTTAGGGGGGCTCAAAAAATCAGGGCTTTTTTGGGATTAATGTTCGGGGTTTCGGGTTTCGGGCTTCGGGGTTTAGGGGGGCTCAAAATGTAGGCTTGGGGCTCAATTACTAAATACGTTTTTTTTTTTTTTTTTTGGGGGGGGGGGGGGGGGGGGGGGGGGGGGTTGGTTGATTATGACGGGACCATCAGGGTTTAGGGTTTGAGGGACGATGGAGTCTGCCCAAAAGCCCCCAAAGCCCTCTTAAGGCCTTTCTCCGCCTAAGCCCCAAGACGCACCCATCCAGCAGATTTCAGGAGAGCTGAGGGTTTAGGGTTTAGGGTTTAGGGTTTAGGGTTTAGGGTCCAGGGTCTAGGGTTTAGGTTGAGCCACGCCGAGTGACCTTCGCCGGTGCCGCCTGGGCTTTTGGCGCTGGCGCCTGGCGCGCGCGTTGAAGCGGTGAGGGGTTTATGGTTTGGGGTTTGGGTTTGGGGTTGATACCGTAAATCCTAAACCCTAAACCGTAACCCTAAACCCTAAAGCCTAAACCCTAAAGTGTTTAATGAACACCGCATTGCACCGCGCTCTGATTTAGAGTTTCGTTGGCACTGTGACAACTTCTTGGAGGGCAGTCCTAGCAGACGCCCTGACGCCCAGAAAATTAGGGTTTCGGGTTTTAGGTTTTAGGGTTTAGGGTTTAGGGTTTAGGGTTTAGGGTACTCACACCTTCGGCCCCTAAAACTACTCTGATGCAATATGCTACAGGGAGGGGCCCCCTTGGTATACTAAGTATAGTTAAAGGGCTTCTAACCTAAGTTAGGATCCTTAAAACCCAATTTAAAGGCCCTATTAAGGCTCTACTTAGAACTAGGGGGGTGGGGGGGAGGGGGGGTGGGGGGCGCTCCTTGTAAAGGATCCCCTAAAAACTCAGGCCCAAGCATATGGGGGTTTACGAAAATAAGGGCCCCAATTTCGGGATACAAAGGACCCCAATAAGGTACCTAATTTCGGAAACTCCCATATCTTACTTCTCCAATAACCAAGGGAAAATGCTAAACTTTAAGATTCCTACAGAAAAAAAAGGAAACCCAACAAGTTCAAAGTTTAACTCTTGGCTAAGTAAGATATACTTTATAGGTAAATGGGCCCTTAGGGGTACATGCACGACCCTGCCTCTGGCGTGGCCGACGAAGGATCTGACTCCTCCTCGGCCTGGCATCAGCTAGAAAAGGAAGGGCGAACTTTGACACCCTAAACTCTAAACCCTAATTAAACCCTAAACCCTAGTAAGCCGTTTAGGGTTTAGAGGTATAGGGGGTAGGGGTTTGGGGCTGATCCTGCAAGGACCTGTAGAGTGCGTCTACTGAGAGGTCTTGATGGCTGAGTGGTTAAGTTAATTAAGGGTGTAGGGTTTAGTTTAGGTTTAGGGTTCCTGAGTGGCTATTTGGGTTTCCGGACCCGCAAAGTAGCCACCATGGCCACAACCCCTTAAACGAACAAAGGTGTTTGTGTGTGTGTGACCCTAAGCCTTGAACCCTAAACCCCGGCTCCTAAC